TAAGAGGTGTGGCCTTGTTGGAATAGTACCACTGGGGTGACTTTGAGGATTCAAGAGCCCACATACCATTCCTAGTTAGTTCCCTCTCTACCTTATGCTTGTGGATCAGGTGTAAGCATCCTACTGACACGCCTGTTTGCTGCTGTGCTCGTTGCCATAACAGTCATGGACTCTTCCCCAAACTGTAATCCCCATTAAATACTTCTGTGAATTGCCTTGGTTATGTTGTTTTCAAATGGCAATAGAAAACTAAGACACTTCCCATCTCTAACTGTTCCCTTTAGTTTCTAAGCTGTTTTCTATACATTATGTAATGGGTATATAGCCATGCTTATAGTTCTACGGTCTTGACCCCTTTTGGAGATGGCATATCCATCTTATTTACATTAAGATTCATAACATTTGAAGAGATGGCTCAGAGGTTAAGAGCACTTACTGCTCTTCCCAAGGTCCCAAGTTCAATTCCCAGCAACTGCATGGTGGCTTACAGCCATCTATAACGAGATATAGTGCCCTCTTCTGGTCTGCAGGCATACATCCAGACAGAACCCTGTATGCAGAATTTTTAAAGTCCTGGGCTGGAGAGAGAGCTTAGAGGTTAAAAAGCACTGGCTGCTCTTCCAGAGGTCCTGAGTTCAAAACCCAGCAACCACGTGGTGGCTCACAACCATCTGTAATAAGATCTGGGCCTTCTTCTGGCCTATAGGCATACATGCAGGCACAGTACTGTATACACAATACATAAATCTTAAAAAAAAAATCCTCACAAAAAAAATAGCAAAATCAGTTTTAATAGAGAAAAAAATTATGGTTGGCGTTCACCACAACATGAGGAACTGCTTTATTTTGGTTTTTCAAGAGACAGGTTTCTCTCTGTAGACCTGGCTGTCCTGAAACTCACTCTGCAAACCAGGCTGCCGTGGAACTCAGAGAGCCACAGGCCTCTGCCTTCCTTGACTGCTGGGATTAAAGGTTTGCACGGTCACTGCCCAGCTTCTCAGCTGAGGTTCCCACTTCCATAATGACTGTTACTTGAGTCAAGTTGACATTAAAAACTAGCCGGCACAGATATCTTTGACAGCACAGCTAGACTGGGGTGGGATGGACATTAGAATGGGGAAAAGAAAGAAGCAGAAAGGCTGAGGGGAAGAGAACAGGATCTTAATTTCAAAATTAATGTACATGAGGCTGGAGATTAACAGCTTAAGTGCACTTGTCCTTCCCAATGGTGGCACATGCCTATATCCCAGCACTTGGAAGGCAGAGGCAGAAGGATCAGAAATTCTTCCTTTGAAAGTTATCTTAGACACATCCATTAAGTGCAGAGATAGAAAGGGACATTGTGTCCCTTCCTTTCAAAACAGTCAAGGAAATCCTTTCCCAAAGTCCAGTATTTAGACCAAAGCCAGTATTTCCTCGGGCACTTAAAGATATTTCCTACTTAGCCAGGCAGTGATGGCACACACCTATAATCCATCCCAGCACTCTGGAAGCAGAGGCAGATAGATCTCTGAGTTCGAGGCCAGAAGCCAGCCTTGTCTACCCAGTGAATTTCAGGACAGGCCCCAAAGCTACAGAAAAACACTGTCTCAAAAAAAAAAAAAGGGGGGGGGGGTATTTCCTACTTGCTAAAAGGAGTAATTCTTATCTCTGGCAAAAGATATGTATGGCTCTCATAGACTGTGGTGTTTTGACATTCACATGTCAAGGTTGACCCCTCCCCCCCAGGTACCATAAAACACACACACACACAACCCAGGTGTCATAATAACACACACACATACACTCACCCTGCTGCTTCTGCTTTCGTGGAAACAGCCTTAACAATTTATAATAACTTTCCTTTTCACCCATGCAGTGGCTATTTGGTTTCTTTACTATATCCAACATACTGTAACTTTGTAGTCTTTCTTGTAAAACAGCAAACTGGAAGCCCCTGTGGTGGTACACTATAATCTCTGCTTTTGGAAGACAGAGGCAAGGTCATCTTCCACTATGTAGCAAACTAGATATTCTGGCTTCATGAGACCATTTGCAGCCCCTACTTCCTACCCCAAGAGCCTGTAGTCCCATCACTTGGGAAGCTGAGGAGGACACATTGCCACAAGTCCCAGACCAGCCCTGGCTATACTGAGAGACCCTGTCACAAGCCCATGGAACCTGCAAAGAGAATGTCATTATACCATTTAAGCCAAGGTGGTGCCTCACTGCTGGGATCCTACTGCTTTGGAGACCAGGGCAGTAAAACCACAAGCCAACAAGAGCTACAGACCAAGACTTTGGAGAGGAGAAACATTTGCAGGAAAACAGATGAAGTGCAACATTAAAAAAAAAAAAAATTAAAGCCATTTCAGAAAGACAATTTTTTTTTAATCATTATAGGGGATCTAAATTCAAATAAGTTAAAAGCAGAAAGGGACTGTATTAGTTGGGTTTGTGTGTCAACTTGACACAAGCTACAGTCATCAGAAGGAGCCTCAATTGAAGAAATGCCTTGATGAGATCCAGCTCATTTAGTGATCCATGGGGGAGGGCCCAGCCCACAGTGGGTGGTGCCATCCCTGGGTTGCTGATCCTGGGCTCTCTAAGGTGGATTGAGCAAGCCATAAGAAGCAAGCCAGTAAGCAGCACCCCTCCATGGCCTCTGCATCAGCTCCTGACTCCAGGACACTGCCCTGGTTTGAGTTCCTGTCCTGACTTCCTTCAGTGAAGAACAGCAAATGCTAATGTGTAAGCCAAATAGACCCTTTCCTACACAACTTGCTTTTTGAGCCAGGCGTTGGTGGCACACATCCTTAATCCCAGCACTGGGGAAGGATGAGGCACGTGGATCTCTGTGAGTTGAGTCCAGCCTGGTCTACAGAGTTAGTTCCAGGACAGGCTCCAAAATAATAAAAACTTGCGTTTTGGTTATGGTGCTTCATTACAACCCTAAGACAGGAACAAAGATAACGACCGGCAAATGTAACCAAAGTCCACGTTAGCCAGGCTATAGTGTCACATGCCTTTAATCTCAGTACTCAGGAGGTAGAGGCAGGGGACCTCTTAAGTTTGAGTTCTGCCAGGTCTATAGAGTTGAATTCCAGGACAGTTTCCAAAACTACAGAGAAACCCTGTCTCAAAAAAAAAAAAAAAAAAAAAAAAAAAAAGTTCATGTTATGCATGCATATGTCACCACGAAACCCATTTATACTGTTCATAAAGTATACTGTTCCTAAAGTAAAAGATATAATTATGGTTTTAAAAATCTTCGGAGTTGGCCAGATGCAGTGGTACGCTCCAATAATCCCGTCATTTAGGAGGTAGAAACAGGTAGATCAAGAGTTCAGAGTCTGCTGAGTGGTGGTGCTAAACTCCTATAATCCCAGTGCTTAGGAGGCAGAGGATATCTGAGTTCGAAGCCAACCTGCTCTACAGGACTGAGTTCCACAAAGACCAGTGCTACAGAGATCCCATCTCAAAACAACCCTAAAAAGAAGTTGAGCTTCTCCCAAAGCTATATGAGTTCAAGTCCTATTTCCACTACTATATATAAAGACCTAATATGGTGGCACATGCTTTTAATTCCAGGAGAGGCAGAGACAGATGAGGCCAGCCTGGTCTATATATTGAGTTTCAGGCTAGCCAGGGCTACATAAGATCAAGAAAACAAAAATAAGCAAATATAATCACCTGCATCTATTTCCTTTGGTGCTGGGGAGCCAATCCAGGGCCCTGTGCATTTAGGGGAAGCACTTGCCACTATGCTACATCATAGCCAAAGTAAAATCAGTCATTCTGAGCAAATTTTTTCTTCAAGACAGTTTCTCTGTATTGCTTTGGAGCCTGTCCTGGAACTAGCTCTATAGACCAGGCTGGCCTCGAACTCACAGAGATCTGCCTGCCTCTGCCTCCCAAGTGCGAATTAAAGGCATGTGCCATTAAAGCTCTGAAATTCTGAGCAATCTTACATCTACCTGGACCTAACTTATTTACAGACAGGAGTAGACAAGATGCTGGTTCCTCATATCTGGAATTAACAATGCCCAGTCTTCTCATGATGTAAGATAAAGAGAAATGGCTCACCAGGAAATCCTAGCACTCAGAAGGCAGAGGCAAGCAGATCTCTTTAGAGTTCTAAGCCAGCCTAGACTACAGTATGACTCATAAGCCAGCCTCAAAAAGAACATGCCACAGAGAGATTCCTTAAACTTGGTATCCCATCCTCAAGTCGACTCTATATTCTGATTTGTCACCCAGAACATGGAAGCTCTACTTCAAATGTGCCAAGCCCAGGCTCTGCTCCCCCATCCTCAGTGATTATCTCCTAGAATTTCTGGTACAGGGTCTCACTGTGCAGCTCTGGCTGGCCTAGAACTTGCTATGTACACCAGGAGGTCCCTGAAATTCCCAGAGGTCTGCCTGCCCCAGATTCCCCAGGGCTGGGCCGAAAGGCATGTAGCCCCACAACTTGCCTCCTGGAATTTAAATGAAAAACGTCAGTCACAATTATTCCTGTCAGCTGTTATCCCTGCCACCTGAATGTTTCCATGCAAATCTAAAGCACTCAACTGTGTCCACCTCAGACTTTTAAGGGTCCTCAACCCACAAGCTCTCCAAGTTCAGAAAACTCAGATGACCCCAGAAAAGTCCTAAAGCTGACAGCACTGTGGTCCCAGGCATCCTGTAATTCCCCCCCTCCCAGAGGAACAACAGCCACAACCAGAAATAGCTAGTGGCAACTAGACACAACCAAATGGACCTTTTGAAGCCAGTTTTATTAAGTAAGCAAGTTTCAAACCCTAGTCTGTTCAAGGCCCCTTGAGCCAAACAGCAGGTGGGAGAGTAATGACCCTGCAGGTCAGCTCCATCCCTGCCAGATGGTAGGGACCAACAATCCTAGAGATTCCACCCTCAAGGAAGGTAACAAAGTGTCCAACAGCACTTGGCTGAGCAGTGTTCCCTTTCTACTATCCAAATAACACACCTTGGGGGATGCAATTCTTTATTGGAATATTTTCAGCTTTATTTATAAACATTTAACAAAGTTTTAGATCTTCCATTCATCCCAGGCTAGCCTGGGAACTTGAGAGCACCCTGCCTCTGCCTCCAGGAGCTGAGGTTACAGATGTGCACCGCATTTATTCTGGCTCAACCCTGGGTCACCTTTATTACTTGGTAAGTGGTTCCCAGCTGGCTCAAAAGGCTGCTGGGCTCTCATCTCATGGCTCTCCATAGAAGAACTCTTGGTGTTGCCGCCCCGCCTCAAGAACAACCTCGAGAAATTCTGGGACTGAGCCTCGGAGACCTCTACAGAATGCTGCTGGATGGCAGCCTCATAGACTTCAATGGGAGACTGAAGTGTGCTCGGTGGCAGCTTCACTAGCCTCCACAAGATCCTGCTGGGTGTCAGCATCACCGACCTCTAGGGGAGTCTGCTGGGCAACAGCATCACTGACCTCCACTGGAGCCAGCTGGGCAGCGGCATCACTAACCTCTAGGGGAGCCTGCTGGGGAGCAGCATCACGGACCTCTAAGGGAGTCTGCTGGAATGCAACATCACCAACTTCCTCAGGAGCCAGCTGAGTAGCAGCATCACTGACCTCTAGGGGAGCCTGCTGGGCTGCAGCATCTCCGATCTCCAGGGGAGCCAGCTGGGTAGGAGCATCACCAACCTCCATGGGAGCCAGCTGGGTAGGAGAATCACTGACCTCCAGGGGAGTCTGCTGGGTAGGAGCGTCACCGACTTCCACGGGAGCCAGCTGGGCAGCAGCATCACCAACCTCTAGGGGAGCCTGCTGTGCTGCACCATCACTGACCCCTAGGGTTGTCTGCTGGGTAGGAGCATCACCGACTTTCACGGGAGCCAGCTGGACAGCAGCATCACAAACCTCCAGGGGAGTCTGCTGGGCAGCAGCATCCCCAACCTCCAGGGGAGCCAGCTGGGTAGGAGCATCACTGACTTCCACTGGAGCCAGCTGGGCAACAACATCACAAACCTCCAGGGGAGTGTGCTGGGCCCCAGCATCCCTGACCTCCAGGGGAGCCTGCTGGACCACAGCATCACCGACCTCTAGAGGTGTCTGCTGGGTAGGAGCATCACCGACTTCCACGGGAGCCAGCTGGGCAGCAGCATCACAGACCTCCAGGGGAGCCAGCTGGGTAGGAGCATCACCGACTTCCACGGGAGCCAGCTGGGCAGCAGCATCACGGACCTCTAGGAGAGTCTGCTGGGCAGCAGCATCCCCGACCTCCAGGGGAGCCAGCTGGGTAGGAGCATCACTGACTTCCACTGGAGCCAGCTGGGCAACAGCATCACAAACCTCCAGGGGAGTGTGCTGGGCCGCAGCATCCCCAACCTCCAGGGGAGCCTGCTGGACCACAGCATCACCGACCTCTAGAGGTGTCTGCTGGGTAGGAGCATCACCGACTTCCACAGGCGCCAGCTGGGCAGCAGCATCACAGACCTCTAGGGGAGCCAGCTGAGTGGCAGCATCACGGACCTTCAGGGGAGTCTGTTGGGTGGCAACATCACGGACCTCCACAGGAGCAGGCTGGGTGGCAACATCACGGACCTCCACAGGAGCAGGCTGGGTGGCAGCTTCCTGAACCTCCACAGGAGCAGGCTGGGTGGCAGCATCACGGACCTCCACAGGAGCAGGCTGGGTGGCAACATCACGGACCTCCACAGGAGCAGGCTGGGTGGCAACATCACGGACCTCCACAGGAGCAGGCTGGGTGGCAGCCTCCTGAACCTCCACAGGAGCAGGCTGGGTGGCAGCCTCCTGAACCTCCACAGGAGCAGGCTGGGTGGCAGCCTCCTGAACCTCCACAGGAAGACACTGGGTCTCAGCCTCTTGCAAAAGGTCCTTCTCTGTGTTACAATGAAAGCAGTGTAAGGAGACTGATACAGACAGTCACCCTTGGGGGTACAGTAGGGGACAAAGTTTCCCAAACACAGGGTTATCTAGCCTCCTACAACATTTCCAAAATCTGTTTTCCCCAGTGGATCCCTCCCAAGGAACCAGGGTTTGCTGGGCAGAATAACACTACCTACTCCCAGCCCATACCTTTCATTGTTTTCTTGCAGAAATAGTCAGCCAAGTTTGAGATCATCTGTGAAACGTCCTTTTGGTGATACCGAGGCCCGAATATCAAAATCTCAGCTTCCCCTTCAGGATCCCACTGGTTCACTTGAAGCAAGGTACCCGTCATACGCTCGGCATGTGGAATGTACTCTCCATCCCTACCTAAGCAGGGAACCGGAGAAACATGAGGCTGAGGTGGCTTTCACTTGAGGCAGCAGGGTGGAGGTGGTACAGGCCTGGGGCCACAGCCACCGGACAGGCTTTCTCTACAGGACATACTCAGACATAGACGTCAGGAGAAAGGTTACACAGCCTTCCCTTCCCAAGTCACTCACCAAACATCGCTTCCACGAGCCAAGCATCCACGTACATTGCTTTTGGATCATCCAGATACTCGGTATGGAACCACTTGGGCAGCTTGCTGGAGTCTCCAACAACTTCAAATAAGGTCCCTTCTTTGTGTTGCAGCTTGACGAGCGACTTAAAGCTCTTAAAAGTAGCCATATTGCACCAGTATTGCTGCAAATACCCTGTACAACTCTGAACCAAGAAAACCAAGGAAAAGGTCTCTCTGGCGAGCTGTATTTTAAGGGCTGTTTGCTAGCTCCTCCCCACACTTGTCCTTCCAATCGGATCTCAGGCCTTGCTTCCCACTCCCAGAAGCCCCGCCTGTCTCCAAGGCCTCACAGATAGACTGGCTGCACCTGTGAGAGGGATGCCTTACACCTAAAGAGAGAGACTGGTTTCTGGTCTTCAGACACTTGTTGGGGCCTGGACGTAGTTGTGCTCACCTTTAATCCCAGCACTTGGGAGGCAGAGGCAAATGGATATCTGTGAGTTCGAGGTCAGCCTAGTCTACAGAGAGTTCCAGGACAGCCAGGGCTACACAGAGAAACCCTGTCTTGAAACACAAAACCAAAACAAACAAGAAAAACAAACCACAACAACAGAAAAAGATACATGTTAGGAAGCAGCAGGCATGCTAAGTGTGATCACAGGGAGTTGAGGACAGTCTGCCCAACGTGAGGAAGACTCATCTTACTTCAAGGCCAGTTAAGTCTTACATATTCCCTGCACCTTAGCTCTGAGTTGCTTGCCCCAGCTAACAAATGCCCACATCCTTTTTCTATTTCTTTTGGTTTTGAGACAGGATCTTGCTAAGTAGCCTGCTCAGGCAGGAATTAAGACATACTCCAGTATAACTGGGCTTCCTGAATTCTTTTACTTTCTAGACACAGCTGGGCAGGGGCAAAAGAAAACACTTTTAGTGAAGGCAACGCTACACATGGCTTCCTAACTGAAGAGAATCTTAAATTCGCAAAGCCTCCTTTATCTAAACAGTGGAATTACATTTCCATTTAGTTTCCTGTTCACTTTGTTTATTCATTGAGATCTAAGAGAATGAAATTATTTGCGGGTGGTGGTGCACACCTTTAATCCTAGCACTTTGGAGGCAGAAGCAGGCAGCTCTCTATGAGAAGAAACGCTGTCTAGGGGTTGAAAGAAAGAGGGAGAGCAAGAGACCAAGGAAAGGAAGGAGGGGAGGGAGGGAGAGAGGATGAAATCACAACCCCCCTGAGGTCAGCAGTTCGGATCTCATCCCAGCCGGAACTCAATCTGCTCTTGTTCGTCTTGTGTAGGAAGGGTCTAGGCGACTGAAGGTATTTAAAAAGAGGCCCCAAAGGGTCTTGAGATGAGAGCAGAATTAAGAGGTAGAAAAAAAAACAACACATTTGGGTGATCAGATTATAAACTTCTGTGGGTCTGCAGAATAGTGCTTAAAACTACATTTTAAGATTTAAGATTTATTTTTAAAGTATTATTATAATTTGGTTTTTCAAGACAGGGTCTCTCTATGTGACAGTCCTGGCTGTCCTGGAACTAGCTTTGCAGACCAGCCTGGCCCCAAACTGGCTAAAATCCACCTGCTTCTGACTCCCAAGTGTGAGAACTAAAGGTGTGGGCTACCACGGCCCTGCTGGGTGTGGGCTGCTCCTCCTCCTCCTACTTCTTCTGCTTCTTCTTCCTCCTCCTCTGCTTTGTGTTGTTGTTTTTCGAGACAGGGTTTCTCTGTGTAGCTCTGTAGACCAGGCTGCCCTCAAACTCACAGAGATCCGCCTGCCTCTGCTTCCTTAAATGCTAGGATTAAAGGAGTGTGCCACCCCCACCTGGCAGGTGTGGGCTTCTTAAATATGGCCACACCTTATTGTACAATATTGTTCACTGTGTAGTGCTTGCTGGCCTGGAATTCACAGAGATTGGCCTGTCTGCCAGCCTCTGCTTCCTATTACTGGGACTAATGGTTGTGCCGCCACCATGTCCCCAAAAATCAAAAATTTATTGTGTTTTACAATAGTCTACAGGATTTGGGTGCAGTTACTATTTTATCACAAGATGTTTCTTGGGGATACCTAATAAGGTAAATCTTGTCCAGGCAGAGCTCTGGAGGTAGGTTATCTTCACTATAAACAAAGTTAAGTTTTGTTTGAGAGTCTCAGGCAACATCTGCAGGAATGAATGCACAAGGTTTTGTGCCTGGATCATTGCTGCTTTAGCAGAAATATCTCTATACAGAAGGAATATTAACTCCATGGCCACAGCCTTCATGGCAAATGCTACTGTGTTTCTTGCTTCTCAGCTGGTAAGATATTTCAATCAAGCTCTTTGTTTCTTCACATCCTAGTGATTTCTGTCTTTCTGTGTAGCTCAGGATAGCTTAGAACTTCCTCTGTAGCCCATGATCCCTCTGCATCAGAGTTCTGAGTGCTAGAATTCCAGGCAAGCACCACCACTGCCCAGATTTAGGGTTTTGTTTGTCTTTCGAGACAGGGTTTCTCTGTAGCTTTGGAGCTCATCCTAGAACTCCCTCTGTAGACCAGGCTGGCCTCAAAGTCACAGAGATCCATCTGCCACTATCTCTCTAAATGCTGGGATTAAAGAAGTATGCCCCCACTACCCAGCTTTTAGGGTTCTTAATTAAACATAATTGCTTCTTCAAAATCCCATGCTTTAGGACTAGAGAGATGGGCCTAGCAGACCCAAAGGATTGATTCAGTGGATCCAAGTTCAATCCCTCACACCCACTTGGTGGTTCACAACCATCTGTGACTCCCATTTTAGGGGCATCCATCCTCTTCCAGCCTCCTTAGACACCAGGCACATGCACACATGCACACACATACATGCAAGCAAACAGCCACAAACATCAAATAAATAATTACATTATTTTTTAATTCCATGCTTTGCCCTATTGTCCCCTAACTTCAAGCAATGCTTTGGAGAACTCTGAACCTTTCTGAGTTTAGCTTTTGGGAAATGCTCAGTTGTTTCCTTAAACTTTTCACATGCTTACCGGCCTTCTAGACTTCCTTGAGGTGGCTTCCTTGACTAATAGTCTTCTTTCTTCACTCAGTGTTGTCTCCTAACACTGAAGGTGTGGGCACTCAAATCCCCAGTGGATGCTCGGAGCACTCGGCTGTTTTCTGTGCTCCCACTGAAGGTGAGAGCTGAGAGAGCCTTTCCCTGGGCAGCATGGGGTAATTCCATCAGGCCCTTTCAGAGACCTACTTGAAGAAAGCACAGGCCCAGTCAGATTCACCATCTCAGAGTCCCTCTCCTCACATGGAGCTCGAGTTCTAAACCATGTCCCATGTGCAAATGAGGAACATTAGCTTGCGGCACCCTCAAAGACAGCTCTGGGTATAACGATAAATAAAAAAGAAGGGCGAAGTGGGTACCTTTTGGCGGGCCCTGCCATGGTATGCCACTAAGCAAACACACCATGCACAACAGAGTTAGTGCAAGAGATTTACTGGGGAGAGTGAAAGAGTGAAAGGCCAGGTGGGAGTGGGGACATGAGGGAGGCAGGAAGTCAGACAGAGAGACAAGAGGAAGGGGAGTGACGAGAGGAGCCAGAGGGGTAAGAGAGGGGTAAGAGAGGAGCCAGAGGGGTAAGAGAGGGGTAAGAGGCATGAGAGCATCAAGCCGTGCCTTTCAAGGGGCGCATGTCACATAGCTGATGGTGGAAAGGCACCTGGTGACAGGTGATGACGTGGCTGCCACCACCCACTTAAGAAGAGAATAAGGAGTTGGGTGGTGGTAGTTAGTGCATACCTCTGATCCCAGCACTGGGGAGGCAGAGGCAGGCTGATCCCTGAGTTCAAAGCTAGCCTGGTCTACAGAGTGAGTTCCAGGACAAGCTCCAAAGCAATACAGAGAAATCTTGTCTGGGAAAAAAAAGGGGGGAGGGGGTAAGGCACAAACAAACTCTATGGCTTCATAGAGTTTGACAAATCCCCATCAATGGGGTTAACAAACCAGGCACCAACCTTTCAGCAAGTGACATTCTGGTGGCCTGTAAAAATGACTGCTCTTTTATAGGACATGGTTGGATAAGGTGGTACTTGAGTAGTCTTTGAGAGAGAGCCAAACAGACTTGTGGAAAGCTAGCATCCAAGACAAGACCAACACGTCTAGATCTCAGTGCCAGGAATACTGCCACTCAGGGTGGTGTGCCTGAGGAGCGGATGTTGAGTGTGAAGATGTAAGATAGGAGGCCCAGTCTCCTCTTTCAGTCAATGCTCTGGCACTGTCCCTCAGCTCTGCTTTGAGTGCAGGCCTTCAACATCTTTGATTTGCCCCTCAGACCACCTAGTTCACCATTCCTTAAAGATGCTCAGCAAATATTGGATAAAACTTTTTTTTTGTTTGTTTGTTTTTCAAGACAGGGTTTCTCTGTGGCTTTGGAGGCTGTCCTGGAATTAGCTCTTGTAGACCAGACTGTCCTTAAACTCACAAAGATTCACCTGCCTCTGCCTCCTGAGTGCTGGGAGTAAAGGCGTGCACCACCACCACCCAACTGGATAAAACATTTTAAATTGGGGTCTGGAAAGATGGCTCAGCTGTTAGGATCACTGTCTGCTCTTCCAGAGGATTCGTGTTCAATTCCCAGCACCCACAATGCAGCCCACAGCTATCTGTGACTCCAGTCCCAAAGGATCTGATGGTGCCCTTTTCTGGCCTCCAAGGACACTGTGCACCCACAGAACACAGACATACATTCATACACATGAAACACATGAAGAAAACTGCCCAAGAAAACATTTTGAACCATGTTCCCAGGGTGTTGTTTTGACCAGGCCCTTCAATGGACATCTCATGGACACTGCATCCTGAATTTGGATTCCTTTGTCATTCCAGTTCATAGTTTGAAATGTTCATACAAACCTGATAGACTGCAGGATTTTTTTTTTATTATGGCTTAATTGGCACAAAGTTTATTGAAGAGAATTTGCTTTTATACAGATTTGCAAATAGAAAAATACATTGACACAAAAAATGGTTATTTTATATCAAATTTAAACTATTATCAAAGAGAATGCAAAGATGGGTTGTTTTTCAACCTATCAAGGCAGTTCTTGTGTGGGTGTCTATCACACACATTTAACCCTGTGCAGTTTTGGAGCCCACAAGACCTGACTCTAGCTGTGGGTCTCCTTCTTGAAAGTGGCAGGCACTATGCAAACATTTCTGTTGTTGTTTCGCGATGACAGAGTTTCTCTGTGTAGCTTTGGAGCCCATCCTGGAACTCACTCTGTAGACCAGGCTGGCCTTGAACTCTCAGAGATCCACCTGCCTCTGCCTCTGCCTCTGCCTCCTGAGTGCTGGGATTAAAGGTGTATGCTACCAGCGCCTGGCTGACATTAACTTATTATTTACAAAAGAGACATTGAAAATGTGCCTTGATAGATGATAAACTCCACTGAAGTCTTAGAACAACTTTGGAAGGCACTACTGTGTATGCCCCATCCTCCCACCCCACCCCGCCTTAAAAAAAAAAAAAAAAAACCACAGACATAGAATGTTCAGGTACAAAAAGCCTTAAAAGACAGCCTTGGTGTGTCAAAGAATCACTCACTTCAATGGCAGAAAAAGCTTAGTAGCCAAGGCTTATTTTCCTGGGGAGGGGATCAAAGGGCAGTGGCAATAAATGATAGATGTTGAATTTTAAAAGGACTTTAAGAGTTGGGTATGATGGCTCTTCCTTTAACCTGAGCACTTGGGAGGCTGATACTGACAGACCTCTGTGAGTTCAAGGTCAGCCTGGTCTAAAAAGGGAATTCCAGGCCAGCTAGGGCTACATAGTGAGACCCTGTCTAAAAACAAACAAAAAAAACTCTTCAGAATTACCATGCCAACTACTTATTTTTCCTTTATATTTGTTTTCCTAATTACAATTTCTGCCAAACATTTACTGTAAAAAAAAAAAAAAAAAAAAAAACCCACAGTTTTTACTTTTTAAAATTATAATTGGTGGTGGTGCACATCTTTAGTCCCAGAACTTGGAAGGCAGGGGCAGGCAGATCTCTGTGAGTTCAAGGCCAGCCTGGTCTACGAGAGCTAGTTCCAGGGCAGGCTCCAAAACTACACAGAAACCCTGTCTCAAAACAAAACAAAAAACTATAAATGGTGATTTTTTTTTCTTGGTGAAGTTCTTTGGAAATTTTGGTTTACTTTCTTTAAGCCATTTTAAAAGAATTTCGTTCTGAATGATACCTTAAGTCTGAAGAACTAGATTCTACAAAGAACATTTTAAACCACCCTTTCTGGGCATGAAGATACTGAGACAATGGGGTGCAACACATGATCTTGGCAAGATACTGTAAATACATAAAATGCCCACATCCCCAGTGAAAGTACAGGCTAGAAAACACTTTTCTTAAGCTAACATACAAATGTGACTGCTTAACTACAGACATTGTTCTCCCTCCAGGTAGCAAATAGGTTGAATTAAAGAGAGAGTCCTTTAGTTACACTAATGGGAGAGAAAACAAAATAAGAAATAGCAATCACACCCAGGCTGATGGTAAAGTCAGATTAGTAGTCTACAAAGGAATTGAAACTGCAGCCTGAAGGTCTCAGGAAAAAAAAAAAAAAACATAAATATGAAGGAAAACAAAAAAGAGAAAATCTTTTTACCGAACACAGCAGAAGCACACACTGTGCTCGCTCAAACGTGGACTGAACCTACAGGCCACTCGTGAACACCCAGGTCCCCATGACCCTGAAGCCAAGGGTCAGTAAAATCTGACTTCTCTTGCTTTCATTACTTCACTCACCCCTGCCCTACAAACCCTTCCCACCACCACTAAAGCCATAGCCAACCCAGTCTGCTCAGGCTATAGATGTGGCTGTATTTTAATGACACAATCTGTCAAAGGGGAGGATTAAATTAAAGGTAATGCTGAGAGACATTGATCCCATGTGTGCATGATACTAGCATTCAAGTGTTTGTGAGTGATGTTCTAGAAGGTCAACTATGGTATAGATTTTAAAACCTGGATTCTCAAGACATTGGTAGCCTTTCATTGCTCAAAGAAAGTGCCATCAACATTCTACATAACAGATGCAACATTTCCTGGGTGCAAAATCTTGAATCCCCGAATGACCTGCCACCATGGGCTTAGGCTTTACAAGGCACTTTTGGCTCTGTGAGATAGTTCTCCCAATTCCTGGTTATATAAAGCTGCAACAAGTTACAAGTGGATGCTGAGTTAATGTCTATTGGAGATGAGGAGAAGCAATTGGCATTCAATACGTTGTTGTTCATCTCAGTGTGCCGGTTGGATCTCTACTGCACAGCTCACACGCAGGACCCTTGTGCCGCCGCCATGCGACTGGCGTCTCAACAGCCACATATGCCCTTCTCCTTTTCCTCACTGAGCTGATCTGCAGAGGTATGGCCATTGGATCGCACCACACCTTCTGGAATCCAGGACTTGTCCACACACCGTTCCATCCGCTTCATTATCAGGTCCAGGAGCATCTCAATTGCTTGACTTATGTTCGTCCCGTTGGCAGCACTGGTTTCAAAGTAGGGGATTCTGGAAGGACAGAAACAGCTCAGCTGTCAATGTAGAAGGGAGGACAGTGGCCTTTGTCCTTTGTAATCTTTTAGCCATTCACAACTTAGAGAATAATTGTAGGATAAATAAATGATGGCAGTATGACTTCAGTAGGGAACAGAGAGGAGGCGATGCTATTCATATTCAATTCAATGTGCCAAATTACACGGAAAACGAATTCTATTCCAGTAATGGGTCTCTCTCAAAACAGTTCCTTCGTATCTCATTTTTCAAAATATCATTTACCAGAGCCAAAAACAAACTCCAGCTTAAAGGAACGATATCATTGTAACTGGCTTAAGCTGCATAGGCTGAGTTAGCATCTGCCTCTCTCAGACTGGACTTCTACGAGGAGCTGTCTAAGCAGCCACAATTATCTGCCCCAGAAAGTAGACCAGTGTTTTTCTAAGAGAAGGCAGGAACAGGTATAGTGGTGCACACCTGTAACCCTAGCTTGGGAAGTAGAAGCAGCAGGAACAGAAGTTCAAGGGCAGCCTCACAACACAGACAATTTGAGGAAAGCCTGGGCTACAAACAAAACAAAATACCCAGGAGATACAAGAGGAGGAGAGAACCAGGAGGGCTTCAATTATATCCCTCTAACTTCTCTGGTGTTGGGAGCACAAAAGTCCTTGTGTCCACAGATCACCAGGGAACCAGGAATGTTAAGCATGCAGAACTTGCTTGCTTGCTTCCTTTCTCCTTCCCTCCCTCCTTTCTTTCTTCCTTTTTTTTTTTTTTTTTTTTTTTTTTAAACAGGCTTCTCTGTGTAGCCTTGGCTGTCCTGGAACTCTCTCTGTAGACCAGGCTGGCCTTCAACTCAGAGATCAGCCTTACTGAGTGCTGGAACTAAAAGTGTGCACTGCGCCGCCACCACCACCACCACCTGGTGTTTGGTGAGAGGTTTCTTTTTAAAGAAAAAGACATATCAACTGTTTTCCACCCAGAAGGTCAGGAGTAGATGCTGTTAATGACTTGGTGAACCTTGCTATCTGTAGAGCAAGACCTGCCACATCCCCCAGAATGTTTATCCCAGATTCTCCCTCAGAGATCTTTAGCTTTATTTCTCAGTCAATTTAGAACACATCCTTGGGGGAGATGTCACATGTCTTTTATAGGTAAAGTGACCAGTCAGACCTTTCCCAAACCTTTAAAGTAGACAGGTAGCTTATCTCTAGAACCGATCTTGAAAGAAGTAACATGTACTTGGAGTTGGGTTTGATGTAACGACACCTCCTTGTGCACCAGGGATTGTATTACATCGGGAAATTTTTTTCCAAATTGTACTGCATTTAAATACGCTTGCAGTCAACCATCTGGTGTCAGACTCCAGAAGTTTTACCCAGCCCAGCTTACTAAGTCCAGCTGAACTGAGTGTTCCTTCTCACCTCACCCATTTACACACACTCTCTGGTACTTCCTTGCCACTTCCCAGAGAAGTCAATAACCCTTAGAGGGTCGTTCAGCTAATAAATGACACAAGTATAAGTGTGTCCTTGCCATATTCCCACATATGTGCTCATATATCCTATAGCCCCTGTTAAACTAGAAAGTGTCCTGTTGGATCCACCACTGAGTAAAGCCTTATAACCCTCTGGTTTTTTTGTTTTGTTATTTTGTCTTTTGTTTGGGTTTTTTGAGACAGAGTTTCTCTGTGGCTTTGGAGGCTGTCCTGGAACTCACTCTGTAGACCAGGCTGGCTCGAATTTACAGAGATCCACCTGCCTCTGCCGAGAGTGCTGGGATTAAAGCTACCACCTGGCTGACCATCTGCTGTTTGAGACGGAATTTAACTAGGGAACTGGAAAGGATCCTGAGTTTTCTATGTAGCCTAGGCTTACTTCAGATTCACAATCCTCCTGTGTGCCACAGTTCCTGGCTTAATATCTTATATATTTTTAAAGATTTGTTTTTATTTTTTTTTTCTTTCTTGAGTCAGGGTTTCTTTGTGTAGCCCTGACTGTCCTGGAACTTGTTCTGTAGACCAGGCTGGCCTCAAGCTCACAGAGATCCACCTGCCTTTGCCTCCCGAGTGCTGGGACTAAAGGCGTGTGCCACCAATACCCGGCTATTTTTATTATTTTTAATTACACCTGTGTGTGTGCATATGTGTGTATGCATGTGTAGGTTTTTGCCTGTGAGTGCAGGTGCCCACAAGGGCAAAAGGTATTGGATCCCCAGGAACTGGTATTACAGACAGTTGTGAGTCACCAGACATGAATACTAGAAACCAAATTCTGGTCCTCTAAGGGCAGCAGATGCTGTTAAGCACTGAGCCATCTCTCCAGCCCTGGATATTTTATACAGTTGGAAAGATAATATAAAAAGAAACACAAGGGTGTTGGTGGTGTACACCTTTAATCCCAGCACTCAGGAGGGGAGACAGAGGCAGGTGGATCTCTGTGAGTTCCAGGCCAGTCTGGTCTATGGAGCTAGTTCTAGGACAGGCTCCAAAACAATATGGAGAACCCTGTCCTGAAAAACCAAAACAAGAAAAAGAAAAGAAAAGAAACACAAAGTATGCATGTGGGGAAGAAAGCAAATACAAAGAAACGACTTGGGGCTTGAGAGATGCTCAGCATTAGGAGCATGGGCTGCTCTTGTAGAGGACCTGGGTTCAGGTCCCAGCACCCACATGGCAGCTCTCAACCATATGTAACCCTTGTTCCAGGGGATCAGACACGGTATGCATATGGTGCACAGGTATATATGCAGGAAAACACCCACAGGCATACAAAATATAGATAAGTAGCATTTTGTTTGGTTGAGATAGAAGAATCTTTCTACATAGCCCTAGCTATCCTGGAATTTGCCACTTTGTCCAGCCAGACTGACCTTAAACTTACAGAGACCCACCTGCCTCTGCCTCCCAAGTACTGATATTAAAAGTGGTGTGTAACCTGGGCTGTGGTAGGGTGTAGCAAGCTTTCTTGAACCACCAGCCCCCAAATATGACAGACTTATTAATTATGAATGTTCTTCCTTGGCTTAGGCTTGTTTCTAGGTAGCCTTTAAAAAAAAAAAAAAGCTTAAATTAACCCATTTCCACTAATCTATATGCTGCCCCAAAGTTCATTTTCCTCATCTATATACTGTCCATCCTGCTTTCCTGTGTGTGTGTGTGTGTGTGTGTGTGTGTGTGTGTGTGTTTGGCTGGCTGGCTGGCTAGTTCCCCCTTTTCTCCCTGCCCACCAGCCCCATTACTCCCCCCCCCCCAGCTATTGGCCACTCAGCTTTTTATTAGACCAATCAGGTGCCTTAGGCAGGCAAGGTGAAACACCAACACATTTGCACATAGTTAAACAAATGCAGCATAAACAAAAGTAACACATCTTTCCTTAGTTAAAGAAACTTAATGTAAACAAACGCAACACACCTTTACACAGTTAAGCCTATAATTCCACAACTTAAACAAAAGCAACACATTTTACACAGTTAAACTCATATTCCACAAAGTGGTGCACTCCTTTGATCCCAGCAGGGAGGTAGGCAGGTGGATCTCCAAGGTCCCGGAAGCCTGCCTGGTCTACAGGGTGAGTCCCAGGGCTACACTGTACTCCCAGAACTGCTCTAGAAGCCTCGCCTTATCTGGGGAGGGGAAGAGCGGTGGTTCACGAGGTCTTGGTGCTGAGGCAATAGGACAGCACACTTAGCACACACATTTGGACATGCAAGCCTTCTCTCAGAAACAGTATGCCTACTGCATGGAGTAGTGCGTGCCCACAATGCCAGCATGCCAGAGGCACCACCTGGTCTACAGAGTGAGTTCCGGGTGCCAGCCAGGGATGTGTATCCAGAAGACCCCATCTCAAAAGCCCAGTGTATGAGTGTGTACATGCATGTGTATTCTTTTTTTCAAACATAATTTTTTCTTTTTATTATTATTTCTATGTTACATATGGGTCCCAGCTCCCTCTCCCTCACTCCCTCCCACCCTCTCATGCTCCCCAATCACCCTCCCCTCCCATCCCTTCCCATCCCCTCCCACTCCACATATAGGGTGATGCCCTCCAGGAAGGGTCATCCAAATCTCTCAAGTCATTTGGAGTAGGGACCAAGCCCTCTCTCCTGTCTCCAGGTCAAGGAAGTATCATCCCTCCATGGGGAATGTGCCCCCAAAGTCCTCTTGTGGACACATCCTGGCTCTACCGTCCAAGGTCCCCCAGACCTCCCTGGCCCTCCAGCCGAGAGACCCATGTTCAGGGTGTCTGAGTCAGTCCCATGCTGGATTCCCAGCTATCAGTCTGGAGGCCCACCAGCTTTAAAAAGTTTAGGTATCTAAGCATCAATCCAAAACACCATTACTTTAGCCATAGAAAACTGGTACTACTCTGTATGTCCACAAGATGGTGCTAGAACAGCACTGCCCCAGAGCGCTACTGCTAGGAGGAGGAAAAAAACGGTTGGTTGAGATTCACATCCATCTACACATGGCTACTTGATAGCTATGTGGCATTCATGGAGTCAGACTAATTTTGATGTGTTTTTTAAAAATACACTCGTCACAGCTAGGCATTGGGGAGCACACTTTTAATGCCAGATCTGGGGAGGTACAGGCAGGCAGATTCTATAGAATCTAGCCTGGCTAGCCTGGTTCTATAGAACGAGTTCCAGGACAGGTTCCAAAGCTACAGAGAAACCCTATCTGGAAAAACAAACAAACAAACAAACAAAAAAACCAAGTTGCTAGGGATAAAGAGATGCCTCGGTGGTTAAGAGTGCCCACTGTCCTTGCAGAAGATCCATGTTCGGTTCCCAGCACCCATGTCAGGTACTCACAACTGCCTGTAACTCCAGCTTCAGAAGGATGAAATGCCTCTGGCATCTGTGGCATACCTGGTGAATATACATACATACATACATACATACATACATACATACATACATGTGAAAGAAAACACTTCCTGGCATATGCAAACCCAAGTTCAATCCCTACCTCAGACGTTGTTATAATGACAGCAGCAAGGGTCTGTCTGGAGTGTCTGTCGAATGTGTCTAGGTGTTTGACTTACTTGTGGATCCAGACTTCACAGCTAGTCTTGCTGAAGGCTAAGTGCTCACAGGAATGGGCTGAACCTGCAGGACTGTGGAAAACGAAATCTGGATCCTCTGTAGCTAACTACTGAGTTACAGTGGGTTCTAGAGAATTCGTTTTGTGTGTTTGGTTATAGCTTCCTTAAATGGTTTCAAAATATGCCTAATAATATACCATTAATTTCTTTCTTTTTAAATTTTTAAGATTTATTTATTTTTATTTTATGTGCATGTATTTCTGTGTGAGGATGCCTTCACAGTTGTGAGCTGTCGTATGGGTACTGGGAATTGAACCTAGGTCCTCTGAAAAGAACAGCCAGTGTTCTTAACTGCTGAGCTATCTCTCCAGCCCCCTAAATTTTTAAATTTTTTACACGCACAGCACATGAGTGTATACATTCAGTTGTTCTTTAGTCTCATTCACAATCTTCTTGGTTTCCTCCATTCTCAATAAAACCGGTGAAGTATCTTGTTAGCACCACCAACTATTGTCTATGACTAAAGGAGCATGGACTATCTCCATCCCTTTCCACTCTTCTCCTGGCATGTCCTTTGTCCTCATCAATTAAAAGCCTTTATCATGGGTGGGGGTGGGCACAGCTTAGTGGTAGAGCACTCTGCCTAGCTTGGGTTCCATTCCTAGTAGTGAAAAACAATAAAATTCCTTCAACAAGCAAACAAAAATTCCCATTTTAACTCAACTCGGCCCATCTTTGTGGTGTCTTCCAGGGCCAATGCATACAGGACACAGGGAAAGACAGTCCCCACATGGCTCAGATCCCTGGTACAACAGAAACAACACGAGCTCTGATGCCAGGAAGACTGCAGAATCCTGAGACCCAGAAAGGGCATAACAGGAAAGGGCTGGGGGCATAACAGGAAAGGGCTGGCGAAGCCCCGGAATGGGGACAAGTTGATCTCCTCCCCAGGTGCTTGAGAAACACTTGCTGAAAGCCTGCTCTCGACAGCCCCATTTTTCATTCACGCCTCAAAAGCATGGGTGACAAACCACAGTCTCTATTGCTTCATGGCTGACTTCCTCCTTATCTCCTTGCAAAACAGCCTCCCCCTCAGCACTTCAGTCTGACCTGTGGTGTTTGCCCCCCTGCCCCCCCATTTCCTTTCCACACTGTTTGAGTGCCTCTCAAGAGGGCACCAGAACTGCCTGTGAGCTCTGCCCGCCTCCAGCTCATTCTCCCAAGTAGGTTGGTCATGACCACTGCATAGGAAATTCATGTGGCAAGCTGTTAGAGGCACCAGATGCAGCTTTCCTTCCTGTGGATGACTCCAAGAGTCAGCATCCAACACAAAGAGAAATTTGCAGAGACTATGTAACTACAATGGAACAAGGTCAGATCCCCACAGCAGACATGTGCACTCAGGCTTACGTGTTCATGTGCAGGTGCACATACATGCACCTGCTAGCGGAGGTTAACCCTGAATGACAATCCTCAGGCATCATCTGCCTTCTCTTTATTCTGATGCAAGGTTTCTCACTGGCCTGGAATTTGCCGATTGTGCCAGCATTGTGGGCAGCAGGCCCCAGGAACTCACCTGTTTCTGCCTCCTAGCTCTGGGATTAAATGAGAAAGCTAACATGCCCACCTTGTTTTGTAAGGTTGAGTCTTACTATGTAGCTCTGGCTTGGCTCAAACTCAAAGAGATCTGTCTGCCTCCTGAGTACAGGGATTAAAGCCATGTGTCACCATACCAGGTTTTGGGTTTTCTGTTTTTTTTTTTTTTTTTTTAATTTTAATTATGTATTATGTATACAGTGTCCTATATGCTTACATGCCAGAAGAGGGTACTAAATGTCATTACAGATGACTGTGCTGGAAATTGAACTCAGGACCTCTGGAAGAGTAGTCAGTGCTCTTAACCTCTGAGCCATCTCTCCAGCCCCTCACCACACCAGGTTTTAAACAGGGGTTCTGGAGGCAGGGTGGAGGGTATCAAACTCAGGTCCTCAGGCTTGCATGGTAAGCACTTTGTCAGCTGTGCAATCATCTTCCCAGCCCAGGATCTCGTCATAGACAAGCACCCAACTGAAACCCAACTGCTCAAACTCCATGTGACCTGGTCAGCAGAGGTGAGGCCCACACTCACACAACTGCAAAAGCTCCCAGGTATTTCTAAGGGTCCAGCATGATCTGCCCGGGCATGAGATGCCCTGCATCTCACTGTATCTCCTTGCTAGAGTAAGCCAGCAGGGCTGGTGGGAATCCCTCAGGTGCTAGAGGCTTAAAGGCGTGCCCTCCCCCACCCTGTGCGTCTTCTCTCCTGTATCCCTCCTTTTCCTTTCCCAGAGATCCAATCCCTGGCCACTGCACAAATCACTGCCCTCCATTTTGCCCCACCTGCAGCTCCCAAAGCATAACACTTTCCAGCATTCGGAAGCTTCCAACCCTCTGTCTCCTTGGCTGACAGTCAAAGTCCACCCCCACCCCCAGAGTCTGACTTCTTCCCACCTGGCCAACCTAACCAAAAAAAAAAAAAAAAAAAAAAAAAAAAGGCACATAAATAAATAAATAAATCTGTTTATTGCCTTTCTTTCTTTCTTATGTATTTATTGTTTTTTGTTTGTTTGTTTTGTTTTGAAGACAGGGTTTGTTTGTGTACCAGCCCTGGCTATCCTAGAACTCACTCTTGTAGACCAGGTGGGCCTCAAATTCACAGAGATCATCCTGTCTCTGCTTCCTGAGTGCTGGGATTAAGTGCTGGGAGTGTGTGCCACCACCACTGCCCAGCATGCTTCCTGCCTCTTATAAGGATCTATTGTGTGTGACTGTATGTGCATGTGTGTGCATGAAGGTCTGAAAGCCAGAAAAGAGTGTCAGGTGTCCCTCTCTAGCACACTCCGTCTTCTAAGGCAGGGTCTCTCCCTGAACCTGGGACTCACATCTTCTCAGTTAGGACGGAAGCCGGCAAGCCCCAGCGATCCTGTGTCTGCCTCCCTTGGGTCTGGGGTCACAGGCATGCACCAGATACCCAGATTGTTACTCGGGTGACAAGGTCCAAACTTTGGTCCTTGTAATTGTGGTGCAGGCGCCCACACCTGCTAAGCATCCTCTCCATCCCTGCCTCCTACTTTTAATAGTGATCGTCAAATCTAATTTGCATTCTCTTAATTCAGGAGAGGGAAGCAGTAACTCCCCTGGAGTTCACCCTCCCCTTCATGTGCAAGCCCCATGATGCCTCCAGGAGCTGAGGGAGGCAGCCTTAAACCAAAGGGCATCTCCACCTCCTCGCCTCCCCAGTCAGCGCCTGCTCTGCGATACCTCATAAGGCCTACTCAGTTGCCAGGACTCTACAATGCTATGTAAAGTGGTTTTGAAATTTCCTTGCTGAACGCAGAGGATTTCCTTCTGTTAGCCAGGTGGTGGAGGTGGCACCGGCGGCTGTTCACGCCTTTAATCCCAGCACTCAGGAGGCAGAAGCAGGCAGATCTCCGAGTTCAAGGCAAGCCTGGTCTACAGAGTGAGTAGACCAGGACAGCCAGGGCTACACAGAGAAACCCTGCCAATATAAATAAATAAATAAGCTCCTTCTCTTCAGATGTTGGACAGAAGGCCCTGTGGTCAGTATGTCTGCCCTCAAGGCTCTCTTCCTGTAAGTTCCAAGACTGACAAAAGGGGACAAAGACACCAGAGGACAGCCCTATCCCACGTTTCTTCTGTAAGTGCCACTGTGATAGTCATGTGAAACATGAGGCGTTCGACACCTCTCAAGGCCAAAAGCTAAGCTTTTTACTTGACTTCCTCACTTTGTCATTTCAGTTTCTCACTCACGTGCTAATGTTTCTGTTAAAACGCTTCCTCCAGAGGCTGCAGGAATACTCACCCATATTTCTCTGCGAGTTCCCTGGCTTCCTCCTCTTTCACTGCCCTCTGGTCTTCCAGGTCACTCTTATTTCCACACAGCACTATATCTGGGTTTTCACAGTACGCATGCATTTGCAGCTGGCCTGTGATACAGGAAAGTTGGTTATACACAGTCATGATATAAACACGTGGTCAACAGAAAATATTTGCAAAAGAGCATCTGAAAACCAAAAATGCACATACAGAGATAAAGAGCTGATACAATATTTCAGAGCATCAATAATCTTTAAGACAGACTGGATTATTAGTCCTGTCCTTAACACATACTCCAATATGTTTACATCAGAGAGATACAGAAGAATATGATAACCCTTAAAAGTGTGTGTGTGTGTACGTACACTCTCACTTGCACAGAGCACTCACACAGGTCATAAAAGACCTGTCTTTTGAATAAGAGACATCAGAATGCTCAGCCCTAAGTGGGATTTCTATACCACATCACTTTCCTCAAGGCTTAGGGGTGTATGTGGAAGGGAAGTGGGAAAGATAATAAGGGCCTGAGGCATTAGATGACTTCAAGAAAACAGTATTTCCCAGACTCAGCGGGGTAGATGTACATATGAATTCAGACTGTGATGGTATGCACAAGACCTACACAGGCTCACGCCAGTTAAAATTCTACCATGAGGGAGTGCAGGTGGGCTCAAGTCCCACTCCTAGCTTGAGAATTGTTGGCATTTGTTTGTTGGTAGGAGACGGAGAGTTGGTTTTATTCAACGGAGTGACACCTGCCATATTGATCACACTCCAGGGCAGGCCCACACCCAGAATCAGTCGGCCAAAAAACTTTATTTTTTGAGGGGAGGGTCTTGTAGGGGGAAGGAATGGAGGGGGAGAAAAGATGAAGTCAGATGAGTAGGGAGGAGGTGGAGAGGGGGATGAATATGATCCAAAGACACTGTATGAAATTGTCAAAGACCAAATTAAAAGCACTTTATAAGCAGAAGGGACTTCAAAAGATTTTAAAGACTTACTTTTACTTTATGTGAAAGTGTTTACATATGTGTGTGTGTGTGTGCGCGCGTGTACGCGCGCGCGTGGGCACTATAGGTGCACAGATGCCTGTAGAGGCCAGAAGAGGGCACCAGATCCCCTGGAACTGGTGTTGTAAATGGTTGTGAGCTGACACCTGGGTACTGGGAAATCAGTCTGGGTCCTCTGCAACAGTAGTCAGGAATCTTAACCACTGAGACATTTCCCCTGCCCTGTGCATTGCAAACCTTTTGTTTTATTTTGGATTCATAAATATTTATAATTGTTATATTTTCTTTTTGGTTTTGTGGGGGTGGGGCTAATCTATTTTGTTTGTTTGTTTGGGTTTTTGTTGTTGATTTTGATCTTTTAAGACAGGGTTTCTCCAAGTAGCCTTGGCTGTCCTAGAACTCTCTTTGTAGACCAGGCTGGCCTTGAACTCCTCCTGTCTCTGCCTCCCCAGGATTAAAGGTGCCAGGATTAAAGGTGTGCACTACCATTGTGTCTGTATGTTACTACTAATCTTAAACCCTGTTTATCATTTATTTTATTTTCTCTCAACAGTAGTATAATTTATAAAGAATTGTCTTTTTGTTTTTTAAGACATCCTGTATCCCCCAAGACTGGCCCTCAGCTCACTATATAGCCAGGGATGCACTTGAGTGCTCTTAATGTTCCGACATCCCAAGTGCTAAACTTACAGGTATATAGTGCATCCCAGTTTATGGGGTACTGGAATTGGTAACCAAGGCTTCATGTGTTCTAAGCAAATACCTACCAACTGAGCTAAGAAACCTCTTTCTATAATCAAACCTACTTACATCTGAAATGCTCTTCAGACTTCTGTGTCATCCTAAGACGGGACCAATCTATTGCAAACAATTAAGAAGCTGAATGTGATGATATGTGCCTGTAATCCCAGTGCTCAGGAAGCTGAGGCTAGAGGCTCTGTGAGCTCAGAGATAGCCTGGGCTACATAGTGAGACCTTGTCTTACACAAACAAAAACTATGGTTTGATGACAAAAGAAGACACAGGGTAAATAGTAAAATGACTGTCGCCAAGACCAAGGGAAAGAAGGGTGCTACAGTAATGTTCTGTAACTTTTATATCCTTTCATCTAAAGTCCTTTAGCTAAGCTTGATTCTGAAAGGAAGAGAGGGGCTGGAGAGATGGCTCAGTGGTAAAGAGCACACATTTCTCTCCCAGAGGACCTGAGTTCTGTTCCCACCACTCACTCCAGGAGGCTCATCATCACCAGCTACACGGCCTCCTAGGCCATCTGCACTCATGTGTACCACAGAGACAACAGACTTAAAAAGTCGTAAAAATGAAACCTTAAAAAAAAAAAAGAAGAAGAAGAAGGAACAAGAGCTCCAGGGTGCAAGGTAGCTCCATCTCCCAAAGAAGAAAAATAAAACCCAACCTCTCTCTCCTCGCACTCCAGACCAAGCCCGGAGCCGCTGAGCTTTCACAATCAGGGGTCTTGGGAGTGCATGACCTAGTGTGTGTTTTGTCACTATCAGCTAGGAGTGTTGACACTTCAGTTCCTCCTTGCAAAGTCAGGTCATGCATATCTTATCAAGAGAAGGTGAAGTACAAGGAAGTCTCCCCAAGCGTTAACACAGGCCTGCACTTCAGGATATGTCTTTTTGCCTTCAGGGGACAACTTAGATCACAAGACCGGCCCAGGCAAGATCAAACTGCAAAAGCCAGGCTTCTTCTACTCTTGGGTTGTTAATGTACAGTTCCCACACTCTTTAATGCCCAGACACAACTTCCTTCAAGATTTGCTCCATTGTCTCCTCTACTGGTCTGTCCTGTGCTCTCTGTGTAGGGGGAAAGAGACAGCCAAAGAAACACACCCTGAGCAGAGCCAAAAGAAACACACTTTGGCCCTGCAACCAGAACCAAAGAAACTCACCCTGACCCTGAAACGTGTGCCAAAGAAACACACTTTGTCCCTGGAATCAGAGCCAAATCTGAACCTGAACCTGTGCAGAAAAACCAATCGATCCCTGAGCACAAGATCTAGCCAATCTGAGCTCAGGGATTGAAACCTGACCAATCCCCACACTGGTATAACTCCGCCCTTAAGGAGCCCTATATAAGTCCTGTCTGTGCCTGTTCAGCTTGTAGCTGTCAGGCAGTCTGGCTGTCCTCTGCTACCCGGGCAGAAGCTACCTGGAATGGAGCTGAGCAGAGGAGAGAAGTAACAACTTTTTGTCTGAGCCAGAGCAGAGAGGAGCAGAGCAGGGCTATTAACACTTGGTGGGGGGCACAGGGGATGGGGACTGGAGTCAAACTGTAAGAACTTCACTGGGGAAGCCCTCCCCTGCTGGAGCAGAGTTGTTACACTGGGGAAGCCTTTCCCTGAAGCAGGGCTGGGAGCTGCTATGTTTAAGGTGACCTGTGGTATTCCTTGGCTCCTGAGTGCCAGAATACCTTTCCATCTGATCTTTAACACTCAGTATTCTGTGGCTCCTGAGTGCCAGAGTCCCTGTCCATCTGATCCAATCCATCCCAGTGGTTACACTCTTAGCACCTTCAATGACTGTTACCATGGTTACGAGCATCTCCTAGAGTTGAAGCATGGCCCTGTTGCTCTGTTGGTGGCTGTGCGCCCATCCCACCCCCTACCTCCCCACCTCCTTGGAAGTTACCTGACCACCTTAGCTTCCTCACCTATAAATGATCACAACACTATTTACTTCCCAGAGTCAAAGGGAAGGTTAATTGATTCACTCACTCTCTGGGTAAGGTGTATGGGCTAGCAGCCTCAGCATGCCCCGAGAACTTATCAGGAATGCAAACTCTAGGTCCTATTGACCAGGAACATGGATTTGGAGGGAACCAACTTCCAAAAGGCTCAGCTGCATATGCACACTCAGTTAATAAATCAAAGCACTTTTAATACTCTGTAACAGTTCACAGAGTCGATATCTATGCTGATGAGTCTCAAACATGTTATTGTTCTCTCTTCTCTGGGAGTGGGAGTAGGTTTCCATACAGGGTTTCTTTATGTAGCCCTGGCTGTCCTGGAACTAGCTCTGTAGACCAGGCTGGCTTTGAATTCACAGAGATCCTCCTGCCTCTGCCTCCCAAGTGCTGGAATTAAAGGCATGTGCCACCACACCCAGCTGATGTTATTGCTCTCATCTCTAAATTTTTGTATGAACACTACAAAGGAAAGGGTAGTTAAGTAAATTAATCAGTTATCTGAATTTTTTCCCTAAAGAAGGACATACCTAAACATCTTCAACCTGAGGTGAGGTATGGTAAAGATCACTATGTGTTAAAACAATAAAATAAAATAGCAGTCAGTAATAAGAGAGGAAGTATTTCAGCTGAGATGACCATGGAACATTCATAGGAGTTCTTTCTTTCTGGGTTTTTAAAAAATAAACATAACTTGGAGCTGAAACCATGGCTCAGTGGTTAAAAAGCACTGGTTGCTTTTCTAGAGGACACAGGTTCTCACGCACGCACATGTGGCTCACAGCTGTCTGTAACTCCATCCCAGAGGATCAGATGCCCTCCTCTGGCCTCCCCAGACACTGCACACACAGAGTGCACAGGCAGGCAAGTAAAGCACTCACACACATAAGCCTAAAGTGTAAATAAACAGCTCTAACTGGTCAGAAAGAAGGGAAAACAGAGGACTTCACAATAGAATGAAAAGATAAAGGGAAAAGTGAAGAGGGAAATGCATGAGTTTGGAGGGTTAGACGTCCTGCAAGTTTTGTCAGGAATCATCCTGGCCCAGGGTGAGGAACGGCTCTAGACGTGACCTGCTCAGTCCTTAACTCAAGGAAGACAGATGGTGACCCAATTCCAATCATGTGGGCCCAGAGCACTCAGCTCTGTTCATGCTCCTACACAGGGCTGGCTCTTCTCACTCCTCCTGAGAGGAAGAGAAGGATCCCCAGCAGAGAGAAGGTAAGCACCAGGGGAGCAAAGGAGAGAGGCTGGGAATGGCAGTCATCTGAGGCCCTGAGCTAAAGAGCTTACTCATCATTGCAGCCTTGGCTCTGACTGTTTTCAGCAAAAGAAAGAACATGGCATCCACTTGGAGCAGGGCCCGGGCGTGGAGCAGGCCCTGGGAAACCGCAGCACTTACTTATCCAGTTTCGGACATTGAGGAAACTTTGCTCATTCGTCAGGTCAAATAGTAGCAGGAAACCCATAGCATCCCTGAAGAACGCAGTGGTCAAGCTGCGAAACCTAGGGCACAGAAACAGACGGTCACTATGTCAGGGCCCTGCTCCTGAAATGTAAAGCTGCCAGCGACACTCACCGCCTTCTACAAAGATTCAGCAATAATTCCCATGATGCTCCCCAAAACAGGTTAATGTGAACAGAATGTGTTATCGAAAACTGAGCCCCCGAATGGAGAGCTGCCTTGTAACCTTGTCTCAGCCAGGAAATGACTGGACAACCTTGCGGTAAGTGGGCCAAAAGCAACAGTCTAGCCATGTGTGTTTTCCTCCTGGGAAGTTTCGTGACACCACAAGGCAATCCTTGGTCTCTCTTCAGGCTCTGTGGAAGTCCCTTCTCTCTGACAACCACTTCATTACCTCTAAGGTGGGAATGGCGGCGTTGAGGCAGACTCAACCCTTTCTTGCGTTCTACCTCTAGAGGCTCTAACCCTTCTCCTCCTCTTACAATTTCCTTTCACTTTGCCTAACCTCACAGTCTGCGACTGGCAGGCAGGCTCCACACAAGGGCAGGGTATACGTCAACCAACTGTTCAGACATAGTAGGTCTTTCTCAATCATTATTCACTCTCCTCACAAAAAGTCTTTATTGCTTACCGATAGACACCTACAGCAAATCTGGCCTGATAGGACATCTGAAACTGGCCCTCCAGGTAATATGGGAGGGAGAGAAGTGTCGAGAGGGTGTATGAAATAAGATTGGCCACAACACGGCAATTATTGAAATTGAGTGAAGTGACACAGATTCATTTCAATCTCCTCTTCACGTTTGTGTACACTTGGAGATTTAGAGAGGGCTGGGGGGATGGCTCAGTGGCTCAAGTGCTTCCTGTACAAGCTTAAGAACCAGAAGCCACATAATGTCAGGTGGCCACAGAAAACCACCTGTAACGCCAGCCGGATCCCCAAAATAAGCTGCAGCCCAGCTGTGCCTGTGAGCAGTGGGTTCAGGCAAGAGATCCCGCCTCAATGATTAAGGGAGAGAGCAATCAGTCTTGATGTCAACCTTTGGACCTGGCATCACACATGTTCCCGCATACTAGTGCACGTGCACACACACACACACACACACACACACACACACACACACACACACACACACGGAGAAAAACAATCCTCTAAGGAGACTGAGAGAAATCGCAGGCTGTAGCTGAATGAAAGCAGCCTTGTACTGAGATATCACATGATTTATTTTAGTTAAGTGACCTGTGACCGGATTAATTCATTCCAACCAGATGTTCCATCGGGCTTCAGCATCAGATAAGAACAAAGCAAGCAGCCTTAGGACTTCCTTACTGGTGAGCAAACAGCAAAGGGCAATGGGGGGGGGGGCGCTAAACTGAGAGAAAAAGGAAGAGTCTCAGGTAAGAGGGTCCAGTTTTAAAGAGATTCACATCCCCTTCGATCGAGGAGGAAAATATGCCCATCACTATCACCTCAGGCTGGTCGAGCAGCTCATCTCACCAGGTGCAGATGAGCCAAGTGGCTGCCTTTGCCCACCCAGGTCAGTGTGGAGACAGCCCCAGGGAGGACATACCTCTCCTGCCCCGCCGTGTCCCATAGCTGCAGGTGGATTCTCTGGCCTCGGCCCACAGCTCCATCTGGTCCATTAGCTCTGTACACCTAAAACATCAGAGCACAGAGAAGTCAAGGGAGACAGACTGGCGGGTTCTTCTTGACCTTCTGTTTAGCACAAAGCCCCACAGCACCTACACTTCTCAAGAGAACTGAGTCCCTAATGCAACCGGGTTTGGACTTTGTTGCAATAACTGCACTTGGGCAGTGATGCTTCCTGCTAAGACATCTACACCTAGCGGGGGATGTAGCTCAGCTGCTAGAGTCTTGCCCAGCATCTAGCGCTAGGTTCCATCCCCAGTATCACAAAACCAGGCGTGCTGGTACATGGCTGCAGTCCCAGCACTCGGGAGGTAAAAGACAGAGGGATAAAAAGGCCATCCTCAGCTATTTATCAAACTGAATTTGAGGCCAGCCAAGAATGTATGAGTCCCTGTATCCAAATATCCAAAAATAATAAAAATTTAAAAACAAATTGTTTTATATTCGATCTTTTTTTGGGGGGAGGATGAGGGAGACAGTTTCAAGGTAGGGTTTTTCTGTGCAGCCCTGCCTGTCCTGGAACTTGCTCTATAGACCTCGAACTCAGAGATAGTCCTGTTTCCCCCTCCCAAGTGCTGGGATTAAAGGCATGTGCCCCCACTGCCCGAGCTATTTTCTTTTTATTTAAGTATATGTGCATTATATATGCTAGAGATAATTATGAAACATGTAAATAACACAATGATTTATGCTAAAGCAACAGCTTGCTTTCTCCCAGTGTCCTTAATCACTCATTTCAAGAAACATTGACTTTCTGTGGGTTTTCCTCATCTCATCTTTAGAAAGTGCTCTTAAAATGATTTTATGGGCACGGGGGCACACACCTGTAATCTCAGCATTCATGAGGCAAAGGCAGGTGGATCTCTGTGAGTTCTAAACTAGCCTGGTCTACAAAGCAAGCTCCAGGACAGCTAGGGCTGTTACACAGACAAATTCTGTCTCAAAAACAAACAAAATAATTTTATAGGGACCAGCAAGATGGTGTGGCAGGTAAATGTGCTTGCCAGCAAGCCTGGCAGCCTGATTTCACATGGCAGATTCACATGGCAGAGAGAACCAATTCTCACAAGTTGTCTTCTGACTTCTACATATGAACCACAGCATGTGCACACACACATATATACGTATACAATCAATAATTAAATAAATATAAAAACTAATGGCTGTATAAACAGGCAAGTCTGCCCCAGCATTCAGGAGGCAGAGCCAGGCAAATAATTGTGAGCTCCAGCCCAACCAGGGATAAATAGCAGGTTCCAGGCTAGCCAGGGCTACACAGTGAGACCCTGTCTTGAGAGAAAGAGAGAGAGAGAGAGAGAGAGAGAGAGAGAGAGAGAGAGAGACCCCAGGTTTGATCCTGGGCACTGCATAAAAACAAAACAAACAGCTGGGTGGTGGCAGCACTCATCTTTAATTCCAACACTTGGGAGGCAGAGGCAGGTGGATCTTTGAGAGTTGGAGGCCAGCCTGGTCTACAGAGTAAGTTCCAGGATAGCCAGGGCTACACAGAGAAACCCTGTCTCGAACAAACACCAACCAACAAATGTACCACCATGACGGCTGTGAGAGCCTCTGCCTTGGCAGCCATTGCAGAGCAGGGGGAGACAGGTTTGGAAGTTTGCCAGAAAGCTCCCTAGAGAGCCATCCCCAGGTCTGTCCCTAGAGAGCTTTTCCCAGGCCTGTCCCTAGAGTGCCCATCCCCAGGCCTGTCCCTAGGGTGCCCAACCCCAGGCCTGTCCCAGTGGTCCTCCTCCAGAACTTGCTCATATGAACAGCAAGCAGTCCCTGAAGTTATTTAACAGCAGGGCTACTAGGGATAGCAGTTAGTTGTGACTAACAAATGTCTAATCTCTCTCATTGTTCCCCTTCAAAAAGTAAACTTTAAAAGAAAGAAATGTCCGAGGGAGATTCTTTTGAGTGTTAGTTAACTGGTTTGTTAGTTTTTGGTGTTTGCTTTTGCTGTTTGTTGTCGTTGTTTGTTTGTTTGTTTTTTTCCATGCCAAAGTCACCTTGCTCTGTAGCCCAGGCTAACCTAGAACTCACTCTATAGGCTGGGCTAGCCTCAAATTTGCAGTTGTCCTCCTGAAAGGTAAAATAATCAGCAATTTATAACTCCAGTTCCAGGGAATATGACACCTTCTCCTGGCCTCTGTAGGCTCCAGACACACATGTAGTACACATATGTATTATCCATACATATAGGCACTCATAACGAAACAGAGGAAAATTAATCCAAAAAATGAAATAAATCAACAAATATGCAAAAAAAATTAGTTGTGATGATTACATCACATGAATATGCTAGAAAAAACTGCCTAGTTCTACACTTTAAATTGATGGGTTTTAGCTGAGCAGTGGTGATATATGCCCTTAATCCCAGTACTCAGGAGGCAGAAGCAGGTAGATCTCTATGACTTTGAGCCTAGTCTATAGTGTGAGTTTCAGGACAGCCAAGGCTACACAGAGAGACCATGTCTTTAAAAAAAAAAAAGATGGGTTTTACTTGAGAATTACACATCAATAAAGCTACTTCAGAACAAAAAGAAGAGCTGGAAATGCCTTTTGGAGGCAGAACACTCACCCGGCATGCATGAGGCTCTGAGTTCAACCCCTGAGTCAGAACACCATGTACAAAACAAGCCAGGTTATAAGGTGAGAGGAAAGCAGAAAAAACAACCACCTACACACATCGTCAGCCCTAGTACATGCTTCCAAAATCACTGCAGTTTGAGATTGCTACTGTGTTATCCAGAATAATGACAAGAAAACGTATACACATGGGGCCAAGGAGCAGGAGAGAAGGGAAAGTGTGAGGGAAGAAAGGAGGGAGGGAGGATGGGGAGGGCAGAGAGACAGAGACAAAGAGACACAAAGCCAGACAGACAGATAGGAGGAAGTCTACAGGGGCCATGGTGTGACACACATCTATCACCCTAGACTTAACTGCACAGTACAATGTATAAGGCTGGTTCAGAGACAGAAAATTGATGACGCAGTGACTCCAAGTATGTGGCCGTGAGCACTTCTTAGGACACCCATCTCACTCAGTGAGTCTAGGTCTCTGTAAGATGCTCTGGCTGCTGGGTATGATGGCACAAACCTGTAACCCCAGCACTTGGGAGTCTGAAGCTGGCGGAGTCAGAGCTCAAGGTCAGCCTGGGCTACATAGGAAGACACTAAAATGATAAAAGAAGATTGGTAGTATAAAGGGCCTACAATGGGCTAAAGGGAATAAGTTGTTCTGTCCTAGAAGCTGGGGACCCTGCTATAGTGAGATATCCACCCTGCCCGCTATCCACCGAACCCACACCTGTCCCCACACCCTCAATGGGCATGGTCAGTGCAAGAGGTGTGGGCTGGGTAGGTATCTTACTACACCCTGCAGCTTCCCTGACAGAATACATATACTGAAGACCCTCTGGCTTCATCATCACTGGACCTACCAGTGGCAACATAACTGGGTTTTTCAAGCATCATCATTATGGAAAGTTGTCATCTCTCCTTTGCACTATGATAGTGTGGCTTCCTGCCCACCTCTCCCAGCATCAGGAGCCCCTGCACTCCTCTGGTTCTCTTAAATACAAACACCAGTACATGCACACTTTCCCACCACCATTCTGTAGCACACTACATCACCAATAATATCCCACACTCTCCCCATTCTCACACTCCTGGCACATAGTGTTTCCATGGAACTATGGGCTTCAATTAAGAGAGCTGCCATTAAAGATGAGACAATAACATAGATGTAAGGCCCAGCCTGGCCAACAGGAACAGAAGAGGCAGGGTGGCTGGCAGACTTCACAGTAAGGGTAGATGGATCACTCTGGAGTATTCGGAAAGATAGAAGCCGGGGAGATGCTAATAGAAATGTTCACTTTAGAGCTGGTGGCTCAGTGGTTAAGGCCATAGCCTGCTCTTGAAGATGACCCAAGTTTGATGCCTAGCACCCACATCTGGTGGCTGACAAACACCTGTAACTCCAGCTCCAGGGGATCCAACACCTCTGCACCTCTGGCCTCAATGGATGTGTATACACACACACACACACACACACACACACACACACACACACACACACACGAAACAGAGAGAGAATATAGGGAGACACAGACACATGATGAAAAATAAGTATTTTTTAAAAGAAAAAAGTAACATGCACTTTAATTGTGTCAAAGGGGTTTATATGAAGTGTCCCGAAGATTCCTAGTTACTTAACATGGACTAAGCACAACACACTTTCTTATTTATTTATTTATTTGCTTGCTTGCTTTATAGACCTTGCTGCTTTCAAACTCCTAGAGATCTGCTTACCTCTACCTCCAGAGCTCTGGGATTAAAAGTGTGCACCTCACACCCAGCCACACTTTCCTCTGTAAACTAATTTTAGGTCCCAACCTTTGGCTTCTTAAATCCTACAAAGCAAACTAAAAAGACCTAGTAATTTGTTGACTCAGATTAGACTTTTTTTTTTTCCTTTTAGTTTTTTTGAAACAGTAGTCCTGACTGTCCTGGAACTTGCTCTGTAGACCAGGCTGATCTCAAACTCACAGAGATCGGCTTGCCTCTGCCTCCGGAGCCATGGGATTAAAGGCAAGCGCCACCACTGCCCAGCTTTGAGATTAGATTCTTATGAAGGGTGTAGAACTTACCACTCTCTTTTCCCTGAAATCAATGCCCACAGTGGTGATGAATTTGGAGTTGAATTTCCCATCTGTATACTGGTAAAGCACACTGGTCTTCCCCACTCCAGAGTCTCCCAAGGCCAAAAACTTGATGAGATAATCATAATCCCCATCCGACATGATGAAGAACTCTGTGCTTCACCTGTAAGACACAAATAAAGGGAGTTAGCAAAGTCCACCAGAAATACTAGAATTAGTGCTGCTGGATGGCTCCTCGAATGAAGCACAGCCTCTCAAGGCCGATGACTTGAGTTAACCCATGTAGAGTCAAATCCAAAGGGTTGTCTTCTGACTGACACATGCATGCCACACTAATTTTTTTTAATGATTTATTTATTCCTATTTTATGTGCATTGATGTTTTGTCTGCACATACGTCTGTGTGAGGGTGTTAGATCCCCTGGAACTGGAGTGACAGAGGGTTGTGAGCCACCACATCGATGCTGGGAATTAAACTCGGGGCCTCAACAAGAACAGTCAGTGCTCTTAACTACTGAGCCATCTCTCAGCCTAGCAGCTTAGTTTTAGCTTAACGTACATGCTGTAGAACTACAAAGAAGGGGACTCCAAGTGACAATGACAGTAACAAGGTTACCTGTAAACGTGGCGCAGACCACAGAAAACAAAAACTGGCAACAAAAAAGGCACAGCTGGGTGTGGTTCAACCCCAGCATTCTAGAAGCAGGGGCAGGAGGATGGCCCGGGAGTCTGAGGGCTAACCTGGTCTATACAGTGAGCTCTCAGCCCACCAGGGCTGTATAGTGAGACTGACTCCAAAAATAAGAGAAAGAAAAGGGAACATAAGTGGGAAAGGGAACCACAGGGAGGGGGTAGGGTGACGCATGGTGCTGTCGACCTGTGCCCCCAGGACATGGAAGGGTTGCGGGAGGGTCCTGAGTGTGAGGCCAGCCCGAGTTGAGATTGTGTCTCAGGAAAAAACGTGCAGACAGAGACAGATGGGACGAGGTATGGACGGTGATCCCAGGGCTCAGTGGTTGCAGCTCCTCTTCTCGGCACTAGATCCTAACCACTCCCTCTTTTCACTTGGTTTTAAGCACTTTTGTTTGTCTTACTCATTTTTATATTCAGGCACACCTACAATTCCCAGGACATAGCTTAGTCCACAAAACACTTAACTGTGCAAGCATGAGGACCTGAGTTCAGATCCCCTGACACCCACATGACAAGCCAGGCGCATTATCCTTACCCCAATCACAGAGGTGTAGGGATAGGCCAAAAACGGCCAGCCGACCTAGCTAACTGGGTGAGCTCTGGATTCAGTGGACACCCTGTCTCAAAAGGTAGGGTACAGAGGGCTGGAGAGAGATTCCTGACACCAACCTCTGGCCTCCATATGCACACATATACACATGCATACATGCACGCATGGAAGCATGAGGCACGCACGCATGCACATACCTGTGTGCTGGAAACAAGATATGACTAACTCACAGGTCAAATCTGTCTGATGACTTCTGTATACTCTGTCTTTGTTTCCTATTTATTGGTCAGACTTCCTAGCTACCACACTCTCAGGAAGTGGGTTCCACCGTGAATAGAAACCATAACCCCAAAGCTAACTCTACACCTCCACCTGGGTTTTCTAACAGGAAGGGCTCGAAATTCTTCAAGATCAACTGAAACAACTCATCTTCACCAGCAATACCCAACCACAGTGGCTTTTCTCCTTTGTTGGGATGTTCATTATCTATTTTACCTTCTCAACAAATGCAAATGCACCATGCCCGTCCAAAGAGAAATGCATCTCACTGCATGGGGGGTTGAGAAGTTGGACACCTTTGTTCCCAGCAGGATCAAAGAGAAGTAAAGGTGGGCAGATTTCTGTGAATTAAAGCCAGCTTAGTCTATCCAGAGTTCCAGGTCAGCTAGAACTACACAGTCAGTCAGTAGTCTCTCTCTCTCTCTCTACACACACACACACACACACACACACACACTTCCAGGAAAGCCATGTGCATTCTCATGTCAAATGCTAACAAACTCTCTTGATAATCAGAACAATGACCTTCTGTCCCACTCACATGACACCTCTGGACAACTCTTCCTACCCATGAAAGGCAGTGTTCCCTCACACTCTCCTGTCTATGGGAACTGGGCTCTAACACTAGGTGCTTCCTGTGGGGCTATTAGCATAGATTCATAGAATTAATAAGCCTCAGGCAACGACCTTCATTCATCTTCAAGCCACTACCTCCCTTACCCCTGCCTAACTCCTCAACTTAGTGACTGACCTTTCTCTCAAATACCCAAAATCCTGAGCCCCTCAAGCTACTGTAGTTAACTTCCTCACACAACCTAAGCACGGATCTGTGCCCTCATGTTGCAGATAAGGCTGGCACTGTCAGTAAGGGCAGAGTGTCTACAAACATTTGCAGTTCTGTTTGCAAGATATAAATGGTGGCCAGGCATTGGTGGCACACGCCTTTAATCCCAGGACTCGAGGGGCAGAGGCAGGAAGATCTTTGTGAGTTCCAGGCCAGCCAAGTCTACAGAGCAAGTTCCAGGACAGGCTCCAAAACAATACAGAGAAAACCTGTCTCGAAAACAAAACAAAACAAAACAAAAAGATATGAAGAGTGATACTTTACTGAAAGGGGTGTCTGTCTGTGTTAATAGCTTCTCCTTACAGGCAGAGGACACAGGATTAATGATCTCTGCAAAGGAGGACCACATGAGGATAGATGCCTGGCTCCATGTTATACATAAACATATAAACAGGAGCTAAGGCTTGAAAGCAGATAAGCTCAGGTCATTTGGGAAGGAGAGGGGCTTTCAAAGGAAAAGCAAAGGGCTCTAATTCAACAAAAGCAGTAATGAACAAAGACCCTGTAACAGATGTTTATGTTAATTTGGAAAAAGCTAGTCAGTCTTGTACCTGTTTTATTTTATTTTTAAATTTATAGTCAGACCTTTTTTTTTTCTTTTCCCAAGACAGGGTTTCTCTATATCCCTGGCTGTCCTGGAACTCAGAGGATCTGCCTGCCTCTGCATCCCAAGTGGTGGGATAGAAGGTGTGCGGCGCCACCACCCAGCCAGACTAGTTTTTAATTCTTTTTTAACATGTTTTTATTTTCATGTGTATTGGTGTTTTGCCTGCATGTATGTCTGTGTAAGGGAATCAGGTCCCCTGGAACTGGGGTCACAGACACTTGTGAGCTGCCATGTGGGTGCTGGGAATTGAACTGAGGTCCTCTGGAAGAGCAGTCCGTGCTCTAAACCACTGAGATATCTCTCCAGCCCCCTGCCAGACTATTTTTATTGATGATGTTTTACCTTTTTTTGTTGTTTTGATTTTCCAGACAGGGTTTCTCCATATACTCCTAACTATTCTGCAACTAACTGTGTAGACCAGGCTAACTTCCAAGTTCATAGATCTGCCTTTCTCTGCCTCCTGGAATCAAAAGCATGCGCCACAATACTCTTGTATTTTGTTTGTTTTATTTTTTAATTTTTTTTTTCCGAGACAGGGCTTCTCTGTGTGTAGCCCTGTTTGTCCTGGAACATGATGCTTTGTAGACCAGGCTGGCCTCAAACTCACAGAGATCTGCCTGCCTCTGCCTCCTGAGTGCTGGGATTGAAGGCATGAGCCACCACCCAGCTCTGATGCCCTCTTTTGGCCTCTTCAGACACTGCACACAGCCACAAACCCAGACACACAAACATAAAAAAAGTATAAGATCTTTTTTAAAAGAAAAAGAGAGGCAGGGAAGTAGTGGCACACACCTTCAACCCCAGCACTGTGAGCCAGAGGCAGGTGGATCTCTGTGAGTTCGAGGCCAGCCTTGAGTGAGTTCCAGGACAGGCTCCAAAGCCACAGAGAAACCCTGTCTGGAAAAACTGAGAAGTGTGGGGGGGGGGCGGGATAATAACGCCACCTCACACCCTCACACGACTGCTCTGAGGACAGAATGAGATGCTGTTTGTGGAGATCCCAGCACATATACTAAGCCACCAGAAGCTTGGGGCAGGGGGAGGAGTGGGAGGGTGAGCTTATGTAAACTATTCTAAGGGGTAGACTGGACTTGCCATGCAAGCATGAAGACTTGCGTTTAGATCCTCAGAACCCACTAAAGAAGATAACAAAAACCTGTGTGCAATAATGCATGCCAGAGCTGGGGAGACAGAGACACAAGGGTCCCCAGAGCCAGCTGGTCAGCCGGGCTAGTCTAATCTGTGAGCTCCAGGGTCAGAGAGACCCCATGGAGGAGGACACCTGATGCCAGCCTCTGGCACACTTGTATTTACACATACAGTTCTTCGAGGCTAATTAAATCTCCCTCGGTGTAGGCAGTTGGAATGTTGCAGATCCACAACTGTCCTAGCTAGGTTTCTATTGTTATGATAAACACCATGACCAAAAGACTTGGGGAGGAGAGGGTATATTTCAGTTTACAGCTTACAGTCTACCATGAAAGGAAATCAAGGCAGGTACTCAAGGGGAGGATCCTGGAGGCAAGGACTGATGCAGAGACCATGGAGGAGTACTGCCTATTGGATTCATCTCCATGGCTCGCTCATTTGGCCTTTATACACACCCCAGGACCACCAGCCCAGACGTAACACTGCCCACGATGAATTGGGCTCACCTACATTCATCATCAATCAAGAAAATTCACCACAGGCTTGCCCACAGGTCAGTCTGGTGGAGGAATTTTCTCAGTTGAGGGTCCCTCTTCCCAAATGACTCTAGCTTGTGTCCAGTTGACAAAAGCCAACCAGCACATTAGCCAGATTATCTCAGGCTGTGCAGTCCCTTTACAGCTGTCGGATCTAACATCCGGTGACTATCAGAACTGGGAAATTCCTGGAACCTCATTTACATTAAAAAGATTAAATTAATAACCAAGCTAAGGATCTGCTGAGGGCACTGGAACCTCAGGCCACGTATCTGAGTCCCTGTCTCCTGGAGGAAGTACTGTTTCAATCCCTCCATCAGTGTCAGAAGCTCCTGCTCAGCTGCCTTCTCCTCCTTACACAAATATTTTTTCAAAGTGCTCCCCACCCTCATTCTCATCAGACTAACAATAGAAAGCAAAGAACACCCATTTCCTCAACACCAACCACATGTGAGATAAGTGCCTGCCAGGCGAAGGGCTTCCTTATTAAAAAGAAAAGAAAAAAG